AGAGCGCAGTGGTATAGTGAACTTCAAGTGGGGCATATCGTATGTTTTGGACAATGTTTGGAACAACTGTGTGGTGAATGTTCGTAGTTATCTATGCATTTCGTGGAGAGTTGCATTTGGCTTGGCCTAATCGATCTTGGCTTCAAGCTCCAGATCACTCTCTGAACAAGCAATCTGGAACGGACTCGATGAGTAGTGTAAGTGCGTTGTGTCAAATGAGTCAAACCGTTTATGAAATGACGGTTTAACAAGTTAAGCTTCAACATATCATCTACTACACACTTCTCTGTTATTACAAGGTCCGTTAGAAGCCCAAGTGATTCGTTTTCCCTCTTACTGGGCCTCCATATATTTTTGTTGTCTAGAAAGATAAGTGCCGATGGGCTGGTCTTTATGAGACGGTGGCTATTAAATATTTAAATATTTAGTAATCGACACGAAGAGAAAGTTAACCATGGAGAATCAATGCTGAATTCAACATGTCGGATGGCTTGACTTAACCTCGCATATATGGCCTTTCTGCATAACTTGTCTTTACTCACACTAAATATATTACTCTATCTTTAGCCTAAATGTGTTCTTTACAAAATCCAGACGTAATGGTAATTGTTGAGATACGATGAGTCAGTGCAGACAATAATCTGACTTTCGCAAAACATCTTATAGATTAGGCAGTCGCATTATCAAAAATCTACAGGATTGTATTTATTGTCATAATGGTCCTAATGAGAAAGCAGACCATGATTCTACACCTCTATTATATTTGATTGTATTGAGAGTAAAGAGTTTGACCTGTAATATGTTGTATATTTTCTGTCTCCCTTTTTGGAGATTTCACAAGTTGAAATCATGAGCCAATTGAAGCTAGACCACCATAGAAAACCTGGAAGCACTGGACGGCCGTTTCGTCCTAGTATGGGACTCCTCAGTAGTGCGCATTCGCGAACCCGCCCCTCGCAGGATTCGAACCCAGGACCTACTGGCTTCGCGCGCGAGCACTTAACCATTAGACCACTGAGCCGGCAAGCTAGACATTAACACCGTTGGATGCCGGCCCAGTGGTCTAATGGTTAAGTGCTCGCGCGCGAAGCTAGTAGGTCCTGGGTTCGAATCCTGCGAGGGGCGGGTTCGCGAATGCGCACTGCTGAGGAGTCCCATACTAGAACGAAACGGCCGTCCAGTGCTTCCAGGTTTTCTATGGTGGTCTAGCTTCAATTGGCTCATGATTTCAACTTGTGAAATTTCTAAAAATCTCCACAAATCCCTTTTTGGAGATTGGAAGCAGTGACCTGGTACAATTTTCATGGATGAGGTGTGAATCTAATGAGTGGCTGATCGGGTCACACACTTATGTGCTGATGGCTTCCGCATATAGTTTCAGGGTTATCGGCCGTATGTTGTCACATTCAGGTGGCTATTCTGGAAGGAAGGATGTCAATACTAATCCAGGAGTTAGTTGCTTATCTCCCAGACTCTCAACTGGCGGCAGATTTGAAAGACGTTCAGAGCCTTCGATTTTCTGGTTTAGTCGGTTTACTAGGTTGTCATTAAAGACTTAATTCATCTTTAAACTAGTGAGATTTTAGCCTTGTGGCTATTTTAGAGTGCAGATCTCTTAGTTTGCGGATATTCGGCAGAGATATTTCGAGGTGGCTTTAGTTTGGGCCGCTAGCATGACCTGAAAACATCTTTCGACGTGACCTGTGGAGTTGCAAATATTAGAGATGCGATCAGATTGTTTCGAAGAAATCTATTTACGTTAAGCTATAGGTTTGGTCTGTGTGAAGTGTTCAATGTCTCCTTTACCCCTTAGGTCCATTGTTTCGGGTAATGTATTGAGTTTTATTCCTATCTACTAGCGATCATTCAATGTTTGGCTTCACTACTCCCATGACCACGAGGCGCACCTTTATTTTCGTCAATCCACAGTTCCTCATTTGTGACCGCTCTAAAGATAACTACACAAGGGTTGTCACTTCCAGTTAGTGCGTGGTCGTGGACATACTCTACCATAAGCTGGTTTATGTGTCAACTCGGTTAATTCGGCAATGTATGGTGTTGTGGCTTTGAATTGGCTTTTAATGTATATTTCCAATTCACATCCCATTTTCTGTAACCTCTAGTGTCTTGTCTTTCAGATCCACCTTTCTAATAATGATGACAGGTAATTACCGATTGTTAGTGAGGACTAATATCGACATTTCTAACTGAATACACATGTTCATAATTTCTCTTAATTTACCACTTCGCCTTATTACGTTGGTGTAGAAACACATTATTTGTTATCTCATAAAGTGATACTGGAATAAATTAAGAAGAGTTCAATTTCAGATACGGACTGTCTAACGACAATGCAGCAACAAATTTACTCTGTCAAAATTAATCGTGATTTATTGATTGATACTGCGTTCGCTTGACGGACTTGAAATATTTACTTTGTGCCTTATTATTACTTCTGTGTCCATATCCATGTTCTGAACGAAAATTAAGTAAATTGATGGGTGTCACAGTGAAATTAAAGGAAATGGTAAATATTTTGACGATCTGCAAATCGATCACAATAACCTAGACTTCTGCGTTACGATGCTTAATTTGGCTAATAGCGGTATAAGTAGGTTTCGAAGTACTTATAATAAAATCAGAAGTCGCATAAATTGAGGGTAAAAAGCTAGCTCTCTATATCTCTTAAGCACATTATATGAACGAAATTTGTGAAAAACAAATGAATATAATCAACATGACGACGAACCCGTTTGTTGCCTTTCGCCGTTTGTTCTCAATAACAGCTTGACAATGTTCGAAAATGTTTGAAAAACATGATCAACCATGCCAGTGTTTGTGACTGGTGTGGTTGTTGTTCATTCGTATTGTATTTTCATCTCGTATGGGACGTATCACAGACCAGGTAAGTCCCGTAACTTTGAGTGATAGTCATATCCATTATTTTAACAGTGTATGCATTGATAGTACATTGCAAAAGTTGATTAATATCTAGTCAAATTAGCATTTTTAACGTGATGGTATATTAACAAGACTGAATTTAAGGACATTGTTGGTTCAATGCTATCACAAAAACGAATGTTATTCATCGATTATTTCTTACAAAGGACCTTCCATCTCTTCAGAATGCTGGTGACTATATTTATTTTCTGCCTTTTAATAGTCACAAGGAAATCTATCTTTAACGGCGCTGCTTATTAAAAAATTGAAGTTACAGAAGTGTTTCATTACTCCTCTGTTATTGGTATTGAGTGTTGTTTAGGATACCAACTTCGTAAACTGGTAAACACAGAGAAGTCTATGTCTTCGGTGAGAATAAATTACCTGGATGGTTAGAGACGACTCCTTCATAATAAATGAAAACTCTGATTACTTAAAATATACGGATGACTCTAATATGCATTGTAGAGACAGTGAATAATCCTAAATGTCATTGGATTGGTTTAGTCGGATTATGGACTATATTCTTCAATTTCACAAAATTGTGACAACCATAAGCATTTCTCATCATATCTTTCCATTTCACATGACAACACAACCCACATTAAGTCCCCGAACACACTACATAAAATTTACAATTATTACAAAGACATAGAAGAAGTCAGTGTTTAGGTTTTTGTAGATTTTAGATATATAAACATATTCACTTGTCAACCATTGAAATCAGCAATTAAAGTTCACGGTACATTAATTACTTCACTGCTATCAAGTTCGCCATGACTTAATGGGGAGGATGCTACAGAAATGATTGTCTAGTTGATAAACAAAACAATAAAGGGGTGTTTTGTCGCACCTGTGGTTTGGAGTAGATCTAGCAACATTCTGACGTAAAGGACTTATAGCTCATGTAACTAAAGAACTTATATTGCCATAGACATAAGAGACAAGTCAGAAAAATGGCGGAAAAGCACTATCTCAAAACATGAGAAAAGTGTCACTGACAACATGCAAAATGACGGCAGGAAAATTTAAGTCTGAGTGCAAAATAATTTTCTGGCATGGAATTCGACTAAGTAAATACAATAATCTGGACTACTTGGAATCTGATACAGTGAATAAGTATTTATAGTTCGTGATGCTTGCATTTCTAATATGGTAACCAGTAATCTTACATCAGTAATGACCGTATACTCGTGCGACGCTGTAGCTATACATAGTCAGTACTTTGGCAAATAAATCAGAAAAATGGATTGTATTTCCCATCAATTGGTATAAACTGGCTAACGAGCATGATGAATGTTTTCATCGTACAACAGAGTTTTCGCGGTCACAATAAAGATCTTTTAATTGAGATCATGAATCGTTAGACCACCATCGAAAACCTGAAATGTTTGGACGGCCGTTGCACGTGGTGCTCCTAGGTTCCCGATGGTGTTCTGACATTGATCGGTTCATGATATCGTCCAAAAACTCAACAATCTACAAAACTCCATTCTGATTATATAAATGTACTACGTCGCAAAGACTGAAGAAAATATAGTGCTCCATCCAATTTTTCTGTCACATTATACAGCAAAGCAATGTTTACAAGGAGACTCGTAGGTTTCGAAAAAACTACAACGAGGATAAACCCCGTGAAATTCCGAAAGTCCGAGGTATGAGATATATACGTTGAGTAGGGAAGTTATTCGTCCTTATTCTTATTTATCACAGAATAATAGGTAATCTGATTTTCGTGTGTAAATTAATTACAAATGATATTGAGCGTGATATATCCACTCATTTTTTTTTGCTAGGACAGTACAACTCAGAGAACATTATAAGTTTGCAAGAAAGCTAAGAGCGGGATGCGTGTATAATACAGTTATTCACACTGAGTCATCAAATTTCGGAACTTTTTATCTTATGACATAATGTTCACCTCTTTATCCGAAAGATTCAAGAGAAGACTGATTACTGTCAGTTTACTAAAAAGAACTACCATATGAAGTAGGCCTCCTGTACCCAATACTCAAATCAAATCTAGAAAAAAATTAAATGTCTTTTTAGATTTGTAGCCTATGGTATTGGACGGAGCCTCCTTTAAAAGTGACATGACCTTGGAGTTAGTCTGTTGTACCTAACTTTCTATTTTTAGTGATGATAAATCCCGACTTCGTGCCTATATTAACGAGAGGCTTAGTCGCAGTGGAGAAAAAGAAAAACTTAAAGACCTTTTACGAACACGCCTGAGTGAATGTGGCTGGAGCGAGGAACTAAAAAGCCATTGCAGAGGTTAGCTATTCGAAGCTAAGTTAAATTTGCATCATCTAGTTAAGAAACATTTTAGTGTGGTAATGATATTTATATACGTGTGTCGCACAGCTTCGGGAAGATTTGAGAGACTGAAAAATCTTTCTCAAATAATAATTTTTAATAGCGTGGTAGTATAAGCCAAGTATTGTCTCACCCTCGCAACCTGAGTTCACGGAATGATTTAAGACATGTAGTAGCGTCCATTAGGTTCAGTTTAGCTATCATACCGCAATAATGTGAATTTCCAAGGTGTATTTCTCGAAGGGTGTATCTTGAGGTGGATATATTTTGTATGTAACTGAGTTCGTATTCCCTAAGCAATTAAGTTGCTGGAGCTGAGTGATGTCATCTCGCTAAACAATCTTCTGTTTTGTTACATTGAATCAGAGATAATTTGTGTGATGTGCACACATCTCTTCCACGTGGGAGAAGTATAATTTAAATAGTTAGCTAATGGTAATCTTAATTATCAAAGAGTTGACAGTATGTGACATAAAGAGATCAAGACTTCCCAATTATTGTTTTGTCTTGTATGTTTATCTGTCGCTCCATTCCGAGAGACCGCTGATGAGCTTTGGTCACATCAGATAACGCAGTCTCATACGAAAATGTAGAACCATATTTTTGTCCACTTACTGGATAGCGATCCCTCAAGAGTTAGATCATGGCTTGCTGTAGTCCTGAGATTAAGTATTCCTAGATTGCTCGGGATTTTCTGAGCAATTACGTGGTTACCCATGTCATTCAGTAACTTATGAGCTGTAATTCTAACTTGCGTTGTCAACTTTTGGATGGTTAGTCCTTTAGTTCTGTAAATCTCTATTGTTGGATGTATTTGTATAAAATCTTGTGGGAGTGATATGGAAACTTTTCTCATTTACAGATATAAACGAATATCAGTTAGTTGATTGTAGATAATAGTAAGTGTATGACGTGCCAAAATACGCGCTGCTAAGTTTCAAAAATATCAGTTTCGCAGTTAGTTCTGCTTTTCTCAGTGAAATGTGTATACATTATCTTCTTAGTTTTTAGAAATTTACGGGGGTTTGGGATGCATTGAATCATAAAGTAATAATTATATTCACCTTTCATTTCTTTATTTATTACAACATTTTTCAACCAAAATTTGATAGGTAATATCAGTAGAGTCTAAATAACATACCATCCCGAGCTTTGAACAATCCAAAGTATCTTTTATAAGTGTTAATAAAGAGAACTAATTGAAAAAGCAAAGTATTATAATTAGTAGTTGTATGTGTTAAAAAACCACACAAAATGAAATAGAACAAATGAGATGGATAAACGAAAAATATGGGATGTCACTAACCACAAGATGTGCAGAAATAAAGAAAATGAGTGCAATTGAACTGCTTTCCCCAATACTGTACCATCGTTTAACGTATTTAACCACATATTACGATTATTGCTTATTACCAAAATTAGGAAGTGTGCTTCTCCTTACGCGTCTCAGGCCATCAGTCAATGAATTCATGATTCGGTACTATGTCCTGTGATGGTGGAGATTCATAAATCAGGTAAACGGCTTTAGTGAGGGCTCGTTCTCTGGTGAGTAGTTTTATTGTGCTGTTGAATACCTCATTTCTACCTGAAGTTTTTGCTAATGATACTGTCCCGGTCTCTCATAGCCTTTCTAACTAATAAAGATACAGCCAGCACGACTCATCGGAGCAGATAGTTACTAGACATGTGTAACACACGTATCAGCAGCCTCAATCTGTGAAGATTTCAGCCCCCCTCAACCGACATGGCATTTTTGGAGAAAACTGTTATGGTCTATGGTTTGGTTCGGATGCTGCACAGTCTTAAACACTTAATCGGTCTAAATAAGCAGGAAAGTGAAACTATGAAAGTTGTTTTGCCAAATACCGAATGAACACACATGGAGTCACAAGTGACTGCAGATAACTAGATCGATGCTGCCAGGGACTAGTTGGTGGAAAATCCACACGTTTATTGTATCTTTTATACACCAACATCTGAGGTACTATGGGACCTTGGGTTACCGTGTGACTTTTATAGGTCAGTATATCAAAGTTCCAGAGCAAGTTAGTGGAGTTTCAAACTCAAGATTTTAAAATTCCTCAACCACATCTGTGGAATGAATGATTGTTACCGATTCGTGAGATAAGTAGTAATGTGACTTTCACAGCCCCAGCGGCCTAGCCATTAAAATCTGTTTTTATTCACGTATATTCAACTTGAGTAAATACTCTCTCCCTCCTCACATTTCAGATGTTATTCGGGATCGCGGGATTGAAAATCTAACAATAGATGATTTGGTAGCTGAAATTACCCCAGTCGGTCGACGTATGGTGCCAGACACAGTAAAGCAAGAGCTACTGGATGAAATCCGCAGTTTTTTGAGTAAAGAAACAGATATACTTTAACTATTAGGCAGATCGTATCTCGCAATCTTCGAGTTTCATTCCTAGTATTAAATCTACGGTTGTATTGTTATTTTGGATTTCTATTTTTTCACTAACCTACTGTCTTTATAAGTCTATCAGTTTGTACTTTTCAGAGTAATATTAGGATTAATACTATTTTTAAAAAAAGTTAACAGGGTTACTGCATATATTCTTATTCTTTAGAGTAATGATTCAGCGATCACAACAGTTGACTTCTACTCTGGTTTAGGCAACCAGCTCTCAAAGGAAAGTGCGCAAATTATGGTATCTACGTACGCTATTTACCGAGGCATATTACAGATCTAGAAGGGAAGAAACTAGTGTTGTTCTTCTACCTCAGCTCATCATAGTGTTTTGCAATCACTGTTATTCAAACAATGGTTTGGTGAACTGTACTGGTGTAAAGTATGGAAGTTGTTGATCCAATAGTTTTTCCTGGTGCGATTTGCTTTTCGTTGTGGAGACAGTCGCTGAAGTACTGATAGTGAAGTGTCTGCTGCCATAAGTGATGAGTGTGAATAGACTTATACTTACGCACGACAAGCATGAGGAGCAGAAAAATGTAAACAACCATACAGGAATCATGTCATCCTAATGTGTGTTATTAAAGAACTAGTTTGTTGAAGGGGTTTATAAGAATACACACAAGAGTTCCAATGGAGCAACATCAGTAAACCTAGGAGTGGGGTGGTTCCTGCTAAAGTAACCAGACCATTGAGTTTCGAAGTGCTGCTATAATGAAGTTCAATATCTGTGATTACACGAGAACCCTGAGGGGTTAACCAAACTGGTAGGTTTTAGATCGTTGTAGTCAACTTGTATTGGGAAGGTTCAGGTACATGCCCCCGTTTTTTGGTGTTTTGTAAATATTCTAGTTCATAAACTTGAGATTGTTGCGTCTCCTATAAACTTGCATCTGAAAACAGATGAAACGACGAGGTCTTATTCGAGATGACTGTGCTTCGTATACAGCTGAGCAAGTTGCACCTCATGGCTAAAAAAACTGACATACGAATACCAAAAGTTTACGGATGCTTTCTGTCTTCATAATCTATGTTCCTCCGCTTTAAGGTAATGGACAGCGAACTGCTAAGTACTTTCTTTATGAACATCGAGATCTCCGTCGACTCCCAAAAATTGATTGAGAATATGATAATGTCTGACCACAAACAACTTGCGGGGATTACTTACACCTGTTACTCCTAGTGGAGTAGCACTCTTCATCTAACCCTATCCTGGAAAATCCTTTTCGTAGTCTGCTTCCAATTCTCGGTGCAGTGTGTTCTTCGACCTTCATCTTTTCCGTTCCCCTTCAGCATTCCATATAAGCGCTTGCCTCATTATACAGTCCGATGGTTTCCGAAACGTATGTCCCATTCACTTCCAACATCTTTTCCTAATTTTCTCTTTATTTGGGAGCTGGTTTGCTCTCTCCAACAGTAGGCTGTGGCTGATGGTGTCCGGACAACAAGTATTCAGCATCTTGATGATGGTTGTAGTACTTCTCCACGTTTCAGCTCCTAACAGTAGGACTGTCTTGACGTTTGTATTGAAGATCAAGACTTTGGTACTGTTTGGCGGTTGTTTTGAGTTCCATGCATTCTTCAGTTGTAGGGATGCTGCTTTGCCAATCCTCCAATTTATATCTTCATCAAATCTTCCTTGTTTATCGATTATGCTCCCCATGTACGTGAAAAATTCCACATCCTCCAGAATTTCGACATCAAGTGTGATTGAGTTGGTATTCTCCGTGTGGTATTTAAGGATCTTGTTTTTGTATGTTGAAGCCTACTGATGCAGAGGCTGCTGCTGCACTAGTTGTCTTCATCTGAATTTGTTCGTGCGCATGGGATAGGAGGACTAGGTCATCTGCAAAGTTCAAATCGTCTAATTGATTCTGAGCTGTCCATTGTATCCCGTGCTTCCTGTCAGATGTGGAGGCCTTCATAATCCAGTCAACCAACAGAAGAAAGAGGAAGGGGGAGAGTAGACAGCCTTGTCTGACTCCGGTCTTTACTTGGTGTGCATCTATCAGCTGTCATCCACGCACGAGTTTGCACTGTAGTCCGTCATATGAGCTCCGGATTATGTTGACAATCTTCTTAGGAACTCTATAGTTTTCTCCTGTCCACACTATCAAACGCCTTCTCACAGTCAATGAATTTGATGTATATTGACAAGTTCCATCCAATTGACTGTTCGACGATGATCCGTAGTGTCGTGATTTGGTCTGTGCACGGCCGGTCCTTACGGAATCCAGCCTGTTGATCACGAACTTTGGCGTCTACTGCGTGTTTCATCCGGTCCAGCAACATTGTCGAAAACTTCTTGTAATGACAGTACTGTGATGCCCCTTTAGTTCTCTTATTTGCTAAAGTTCCCTTTCTTTGATATGTTGATAAGGTGTCCTTCTTTCTAGTCCATCGGCACTTGTTCTTCCTCCCCAATCTTCTCGAACAGAACATGGAATATGTGCCTTCTCACTTTTGATTTGTGTGGTGGCCGTCTTAATTTCTTCCGTCGTTGGTGGAGTGAAATCTATAGGAAGGTTTGTATCATCTTGCTAAAAAAACGCCAACCGGATTAAACGAATTGCGAGAACTTCGCAAGTATAATAGAAACACCCAGCGATGTCGGAGTTAGGTGTAGGCTATTAGGTGGTGATGGCAAACAGACTGATGGGGTTGCAAATATCCATTGAATAAAGATATTATAAGAGCATGAAGTCATTGACAGTTAGAGTGGATTAAATCAAGAGGTGAAAACCTCGTCGGTATCCGCAATAAAATTGTGAGCTTTTGGTAGTGTGATCGGAGACCAGCTGAAAACATTTTATGAAATGCCACGAATCTGGACTTCCAATAATTCATATTGTAAGAAAAAATCCTTGATTGTTCTATACGCAGGATTACAATGGTATTTCTCAAGGTTTTAATTTACTAGAACTCGACCGCTATTAAGAACTGACTAACATAGATTTTATTTAGTGTAGGCAAACTGATGTGAGTCCACAGTTCAGTGCCACTCATAAATTACTTTGGACCTGACCGTTTCTGGTGCGTCGCCACGATGTTTGGGCTCGCATATAATGTTGATCTATGTTGACTGATACACTTGGTGTTCTATATTCATTGGGTCGATTGGAGATCAAGACCAAAAGCATCAAACTTGAGGTCCGTGGGTGAAGTCATTTTGCTGATCGCAACGAGGTGTGGGAGCAGTAGTGTTCCTCACGGATAAATAACAACCCCAGTATTTATTTGAACACATAAATATTGGTACAAGGGAGCAACAGATGCATATGCGCCACGACAACCCCAGTACTACTGCCTCACAAAGGAACTAGGAAGGGTTAACGTTGAAAGGAACATGCCTTATCTTCCCCCCGACAGATTACCAGTGCTCACAACAAGATCTGTCAACCACAGAGCTAATATATCGTGCGTCTTTGAACTTAAGCAGCTAATCCCTGGACTTTGTGGTTATACTCAGGTTTACAAGAACTTCGCCACTGATCCATTTTCTTTTCTAAACCCATCAAAACGATATGGGTGAAGTGGGGAGTGTTAAAAACCTGAAAGCAATTGAATTATTCTCATTCACAATGAAACACTTTCCTTGCTTCAAACTACTTAATACACTTTATTTGTCAGTAACTGCAGCATAAGGTGAAGGAAGTTCAGGTGGTAACAAATGACGAATATTCCCATTAGCTTGAACATGCTTGCGTAAATAACTTAAAAGTTCTGTGATCCCGAAGAATTTCATGTTAAGATAGGTCTGCTGCAAACTACATCTTGATAACTAATAGCTGAAACGATTATATTAGTGTAAAAATCTATAAAACTGACTTAACCTAATGAAATCACTTATTTGGAATAAGGAGTTTCCTTTTTTTATACTATAATGAATAAAGTTATCAAATCATGTATTTTTTAAAATCATTCTAATTGTTATTTCACTGAAGCAAAATGAAAGTAATTGAAACGTATTAAACGAGGAATGGAGAGTCAAGGCAACCATAACCTGCTACTATTCCACCTTCATTAGATTCCAGTGGTTTTGATCGAAGAAGGTGACCAGAAAACTCATTCAGGAAGATTTCATCTTTACACCTGTTTACAAGAAAAAGCATTGGGATAGTATTTAAATTACAATTCATAAGAGAAATCAATGACCAGTGCAATTACAGGCTTTCTACTCGAACACAACTAGTATTCGATCATAGGTGTCTTCGAAGATTTGCTCGTATATCCTGAGACTACCGAGTAAGTAATGCATTTGTTAGGAAACGGGTACTAGGTAAGGATGCCAAATCAATTGATAACGTAGTGAAACTTCATCAGTTGAGATGTCTGGAACATATGTTACCTACGCTCAACCACCGACTGCCCCGACGTGCGATGTTTTATGGTGTATGAGTAGGTTGGAAGGAAGCTAGGGGCGGCCAGACCAAAACACGATACAAATCCGTGAAGTCACTGGCATGTGCAATGAGCCATGTTGGTAAGTGTAGACTAACTGGTTGGGATCCGCGAGACAATAGCAACTGAGACATTGAATGACATGTCTCAAAATCATTTGTGTTCTCTCGAATTCTAATCTTCGGAGTTTTTCCATGTCTCTTTTTTCTCCTTCCAAATTTATTTCACTGGATAACACCCCTTGAATAACATCTTCAAACCATAATCTTTCTAATTACTGCTTATACTTTTTCTACCTCTACCACTATAGAATGTGGATCGACAATTGTATCTCTATGCTAATGTGGTAATGCAACCTGAACTGATGTACTTACATACGAATTTCTACGTTTTTGCTGACTGAATGTAATTTCGTCCGACTAAGTAAAGTAAACCACATTAGCAGTTACATAAAGACCTCAAAATAAATATGTTCTGAAATTAATTAAAGTGGATTGACATATCTACTTTCTAACATCTAGGTTCTAATAATTTAAATTGTATTTTCACAAAGAATTTCCTTTATTATTTAGTGGAGATTCTGTTTTTTACTTACACCTTATTGCGAAAAATTTGACAGATATAAGCAGTATAGGAAATGGCAAAAATGTGCATTGACTCATGTTGCTGTATTATATCAGCACAGAGAGATTCGTGCTGGTGAGCGGCTTATGCTCCTCCACGAGGGGTGACAGGGAAAATGAATCCCCGAAATAAAAGATATAACACAAATTTTAAAATCTAGATCTGGTAGAGGGAAAGAGTGAATGCATCTTTACAAATGAGCTTGATTTTAGCATTATTATTTAACCTCATTCTAAATCCAAACAAGTAGTGTATACCTATCAACATACGTCTGGGCAGTAGCCCATGATTCATGGACTGATGTCATGTCATGGTTTGGCTGCCACATAAAATCCACCAATCATAACTTCGAAAATCAAAAATAAGTTGCGGGGTAATGCAATCATTCCCTATTTTAATCCATCAACATTCCTTCAATCTAAAAGAATATAACTCATTTGAATCTCTATAATAGTATCAAAAATGACAGTATTATAGTTTTACCAATTTTTAAAATGAAGTAAACATGAATTAACGACCACTAAGTAAATTATTCATTGACAGAGTATTTTGCATTGGTTTTCAAAATCAAAATGACAAACTAGAAATAAAAGAAAGTACACTACTAGTTGTTAAACTTACGCAAGAATTGCACCAAAAGTACCCAATTCAGTAACCATTTTCTTGACATTTAATTCTCCAGAAGCTGAAGTTGAATTCAATATAGAATTTTCAAAAATATATGGTTGTATACGCTCCATAAGTACATACAGTTTTCTTTCAGAATGATTCATAATTGACTTTAATTTCTGAACAAGTTCCTCTATGTATAATTAGTAAAGAGGATAACTGATTAAGAATTAGATCAATCTAAATCATAGTCAATAAGTTATTCTTCAAATGACATATCTATTAATCATTGATGATTAGAACTATTTTTGTAACAAACAATCTATTCCTATGATTTTACAAATCGTCCTTACTAAACCATAAGTAAATCTAGCCTTTAGCAAGATTTACATATTTGTCGTAAGTAATTAGCTAGTGTGTACATCTAAATTTGAGAACGGTACTGCTAATTTAATTGTTTTCGATAAGGTGCCGATAAAGACTTACAAGAGTGATTGTAAGAAACATAGTTTGGTCCTAGTGTTCTTAAAGCACGTCATTTATCATTAACTATAAATTGAAACTGGACATATTTTTATTTATATATTCTTTAAAGAAGGGCTCATATAGTAAAACTACCAAGTGAGTATTGCTGGTTATGGACATGATATTAGATAAATATTGTTAGGTTAGATTGATAACGCTGTAAACCATGGTCGACCGGAATGATTGGGACAAGTGTTATTCTATGTCCTGTCATGGACTGTTAAATGAAATACGTGCAGTTTGGAAAAAAGCCAAGAGTGAGTATATCGGAACGCGCTAGCGGTTCATGAAGTCGTTAACCACTGGTTAGGAAGGTGCAGATTTTGGTGTAGAAACTCTTGGATATATCCACTTCAAAACACTTCCAATTTATTACGAAATAGCCGTTCTATCTTCACGTTCATCATTTATAACATCCTTGATGGTCCTAAAAAGTCAAGATTTTCAACCACCTCATCCTTTCATTATTTTTATGCTAGGATCGTGTGTATGGATGATGTTTCCTGATTCACTTCATCACTAGCTATTCGGACAAAGAGTCAGTCGTCAAAAAGTTCAAGATGCCTTACACTTAGAACGTCTGGAATAAAAGTAAATGTTGACGGTTATCATTGACCTTGCGTCACTACAATCTACTAAAATGCTTTATCCAATCTAAATGAGTCGTTTCCTTCAGTGTTTTCACAAAGCTTCATCAAAAATCTAAGTATCTCAGTCCTTATATTTATCGGACAACCCATAACATATTCGCTCCAAAACAATTATATTCGAAACATCGTATCTGGACATGGATGCTCTCTAGAAAAACCCACTCACACTTAGCACTTTTGAAGTGATAATAGTAATAACCGAAAAACCCAACATAACTCAATACAACATTTTATAGACCGAGCCCGTAAACGACATACTTATTGCATAAAGGTTAATAACGTGAAAAGTGATTATTCACCTTAAAAGATCGACTAAGAAATCTAATCGGATTGAATAAAATTAAAATGGTAGTTATCGAGAAAGATTTAACAAGAAAACCAATACCTCCAAAATAATTATTCCCTCCACCTTCTCTCTGTGGTTTCAAAACATAATTATCTGGTCTTAATAGACAATCGTTAATTACATATTGAATCTCAGTGGAATCCGATATTCCCATTTCTTCATCTAATGTATATTGATGGGCGAATGTAGATAAAATATTTAAATAACTTGAACTATCCGGATTAAAAAATCTAGATAAATATTTCGGTTTTGATAGGGCGGCCTGTATTATTTTTGTATTTGCAAGCATATATTGTATGCATGGGCATTTGATAGCTAACGACCGTTCAAGTTGATATTTCACATCCCATGTCTACGCACGAAGTGAATAAAACACACACAAAACGGAAATATATAAGGACCAAATAGCTGAAAGTATCATTAACTAGATTTGTGAGAAAAATTAACATAGATATTTTATTGGACTATTGAGCAGTTAATCTGGAGAGAAGTGTTATATATTGCCTAGAAGACTTATACGAATCAGTGCAGAAAATAAACCACAAGGGGAATAGATGTGCAGATCAAGTTGTATGTTGCAGTAAGTAGGGATATAAAATACCATGCTAAAATCTCGACAAACCTACGAGAGAAACACATCTATAATGCACACTGAAAACCTGTCAAGAGTAGCGTGATGGGGATCTGAGTTTCAAGTCTTGCTACATTCTTTGACTTGACTAGTTTAATTGTGAAAGTTTCATGGATCTACAGAACAACATAATTAGTACAGACTTCAGGTAGAATTGAACTATTCGAACTTCTCCCCACATAACCTACTGATAGCATGTTTGGTCGAACTTGATTTATTAATTATTGTTGACCTTTATTCTGTCATTATCTGCATTTTTATTTTGACAGGATTAAACACGATCAAACCGTCCAGGTCAGAGAATGAAACTAATAAAATAACCCACCTAAAATAAAAATCTTGTCTCTACCATCGCGAATTTCTTCTCCTTATATAAATTCTGTTTATTTGATTAGATAGGTGTTTAAATTTCTAACGCGGACTGTTGTATTAATCGAGTCATTGATAAGGCTGTTCATTATGGAGAGTAAAATCTGAGGAAATTTGATAAGCACAAAATTACAGCTCTGTAATAATGTAGATATAAGAAATTCAGTATTGTGAATTATTATATTACGACATAATTTCTTATCTGTAAACGTAATCATGGCAGATTTAGTACTTACACATTATGTATTCACTGGAATCTAAGATACGGATGTAAATCAACAGCTTAATGAAAAAAGAGATCTGAACATGCTGGAAAGATTAGATGGGAATTAACAATATGTGGAACCGTGTGTTGGCATGTTGAGAGTAAAAAAACACTGTTTGAAGTCACTAAATGTTAACGAGATGAGTTAAGTACATCAGGGATTAATTAAATTTTCTTAAAAACATTTGATAATATGTTAAAAGAAGTTAAGCACCTTTTAATTAATATCAACGAAATGTATGAATGGATTTTGATGAGAATATGAACTATACGTTATTATGAAGTATAAAACGGATCCACTTTAATAATTCATATATAAAGGTTGCCAGTGAACTGTTAGTACGATTACAATTTATTTCAATATAGAAATAGACGACGAATGTTGCAGTCTTCTGTTTAATTGTTAAACAAAACACCATGAAAAATTTATTTTCATGATCTCAATCATTATGTGCAAGGTAATTCTAATTACTGTGCACGTCAGTAATTGACGAAAGAAGTTAGTTTAGTTTTGCGATTGAACACTGTTAGATCCCGATAAGCATAATGAATGGTAACTTTTGGGATCCATTTATGGACCAATAATAAACGTATATTTTTATCGTATAATTGTTAAATAACTAAACTATGCATATTCATACTCTTATTATTATAAGCTTTATTTTGACCCATAAACTATTATTATACGTTTTACCATTCTTGAATTATGCCCTATCTATTAATCACTACCTCCCTCATTCACAGTCACTTTTGGCCAAATCTTGTACAAATGTCATTTCCTATTTTATGGTACGTTGTGGTCTGTTTGATTGGTATATAAACTCCGTATATCTGAAATAAATGATTCATATCGCAGAGGCTCGGATTGGTGTTCTGGACTTAGTGGCTGTGCTAGACAGTAAGCGGGACCAATAAGGACTCCAGACTGCTCACACGGGTTTACGCGCTATTGATCCGATCGATAAGTCACTGCTCTCTAATCGGCGGTCACAAGTTATAAGAAACACAAAAAATATTCCAGGGAATACACGTGACAAAGAATGTCAACATGCCATCCATTAAATATTAATCAAGGATTTTTATAACGGACTGAATTTGGATACTTTTGGGTAATACGTAACCATTTATTATCAAATTATTCGGTCTGTAGTATGAGATTTTTTAGATAATACGCTATCTATTCTTTTTAAAAGTGTGGGTGTGGTGAAATACAACTCGTTGACCAAAAGAGGTTTGTCCTCTAAGTAGCATTATTTTTCATGTTATAATCAACTTGATTTTAGGAAAGCTCAGTGAAATGCTGGCCCTTAGTTAGCACCAAAATAGCATACTTAGCTAATCCCCTTTGAATGGATGTTTAATAAACCCACTTTATGCGAAGTAATTATTTGTTGCGTAACTTTCTTAGTTGAATTCGATGCCTTGACGATAGTCAGTCAATAACAACGTAGAACTTCGTACGTACGTACATCAGTTCGAGTTGCCACACCACATCAGCACAGAGATGCAGTGGTCGATTCAAATCCCGTAGTGCTAGATGTAGTAAAATTATAAGCTGTGATCAGAAAAATTAGGATTTGAAGTATAATCCAGTGAAATGAATTTGGAAAGAGAAAAAAGAAAGGGATATGAAGAATTCAGAAGATTAGAATTTGGGAGAACACAAAGAATGGATGCACCTGCACCATTGCAAACGATTTTGAGCCATGTCATTCAGGGTCTCCAACCATCGGTTGCTATCATCTCGCGGTCCCCAACCAGGTAGTCTACACCTACCAATATGACTCAGTCCACTTATCAGTGACTTCATGGACTTGTGCCATGCTTTGGTCTGGCCGCCCCTAGTCTTGACGATAAATTAAATGATTTATCCATATCGCAAATTATATTTTTAATACTAAACGTACAGCCACATGTAGATACAAAAATATGTGACATAAATGCTTCCCCAATGTGCATGTTTCAAACTTATAAGGACAAATACTAATTGTAGGATTTTTGATCATTCTGATTTTTCATGATCACATTTATTTATCCATCAAGTGTTAAAAAAATATTTATCAAATATATTACGACGCTATGCAAAACGATCAGAAACAATTGTTAAACTCAGTAAAATACTGATATAAACGTTTAATAGCTTTCTTGACCATAAATGAAAACAGATAATTGATGGAATTAGAGAAAACTGTATTATCAAATAATTCATATCTACTGATAAACAAATTTCAACTGCTTCCTGTTACTTTTGGATAAAGTTGAAAATATTTAGATTATTACGAATACTGTCCAACAACTTAGTAACTTAGTCTTACAGTTCCCTGTGCTTAAAAGTATCAGTGATATTGGTATTTAAATGTTTGTATTCTTCTCAGAAACTATTGATTTTTTTATGGTAAACATTATTTATTTAATCCAGATTATTTGTAAAACACGTAAACTTAAGCAAAAACAATTTTTTCTGGAAACCAATCAAACAAGTAGTTAGGACATTTTGCATTATAGACAAATACATGTCATAACAAGAAAAAAAAATCAGATTACAATACACTATTTTCCTGACCACTCGGTGATTTTGATACCTCGGTGTCCCACAACCATGAAATTTTGGCAGACTAAAGGCTGGATGTTATACCTATTGATCCTGGTCTCTCGAGTATAGCTGAAGTCTAGGAAACCTTTAATTATTTAAATGTTAGACATTACTATGTTTGGACGCCATCAACAATACTATTCCTGAGTTGTTGTAGTTGTTTCCCCTGATAAACTGCACATACATCAGTATTAAATATACTTAACACAACTGTGAAGCACATGGGAGCAAAGGTATTGTAAAATAGATGCAATTGAGCAAACTGAAGTATATAATACTCAGACTGCCCCATCTGTCATCGTTGAATGTGCTATCGTGATGCAACACACAAAATACGTATCCAGAACTTAAGACTTTAATGTACGTCTTACTTGATACTGTGGTAGGAATTCTTTCTACAATAATGCTATAATATCAGTTACCTGACTTACAGTAACAAAAAACAACAAAATATATGCAAAAAATTGGCTTTTTTAAAATGCAAGATGACTGCATAATATTTGCATTATTCGCAACCAACAGTTCATTTCTGTAACGCAGCATCAACATGATGGGTAAAATTTTTGTTGCACATTTCAGGTTTAGTCCCATTAATCATGTTTTTATATACCAACATTTGTTGTCTTATTTCAGTAACAAATGTTTCGTTATAACGTGTCAACCAAACTGGGTTATCTAGTCTAATGTAGTGAATATCATAACATTTTTATCAATTTGATCTTATCCTTAAAATTGGCATGACTCGTGTAACTTATTATTATTCGAGAATAAACTATTATTGTCAAAAAACTATCTAGGCGGCCTGCTTGAATATCTGGGCTACCTGTTTCTGCCATCTGATTATTTCAACAAGTTATCTGTTTTTCATTTGTTTTAATTTATAATTATGTCCATTAACCGCATAACCTACTCAGGCGCTTTTATGAAAAGCCTACAACCTTTCGCTGCACAAGTTACGAAAAAGTACTATAAAAGGCATCGTGGTGGTTGGCAATATGAGTTAAAGAGAATGAACATCAATCGTATGTCGATTCCCGAGCTACTAAATTCTAACTGCCGATCACTAATCAACAAAGTGGACTATCTGCAATTCCTGCTTAGTCAAAATACGTATCGTAATTGTGGTGTCATCACAATTCAAGAATCTTGGTTGAATGATTTACAGGATGACTGCCTTGTATCACTACATGATTTCAAAATTTATCGTCAGGATCGATCGAACAATAAAAAAAGGTGTGGTGGCGGTGTAGCTACGTTTGTAAACATAAACTGGTGTCGATATTCGTTTGTGTGTTTTAAGTTTTCAAATGACTTTATCGACTGTCTAACTCTAAGATGTCGTCCAAAACATCTGAATAAATACAAATATGTTTATGTTACCAATATCTACGTTACTCCAGATTGCACATCATCTGCACTATCTGTTTTTGCCGATGAATTCACTGAGTTCGCTGTTACTGCCTTCAGTGATTCACTCTCAGTTGTATGTGGTGATTTCAATTCATGTGACTGTAACTTCCTTACGTCACTAGGTCACCAAAACGTAGTAGATTTTCCTACTCGTTTGGATGCTCATTTAGACTTCGTTTTCATTAATGATGTGGGTATATATGCAACTCGTAAACGTGCTCCATTGTCTAGCTCAGATCACTGTTTAATTCGTGTTCTACCTAAAGTATATGGAAAGCATGGGAAGAGTACACTCTTACATCAAACCAAGAAAGTCAAATATAGGAATTACTCAGAAGAAAATATCCGAAATCTAAAAAACATGTTTCATACGACTAACTGGGAATTATTTACAGATGACTCACTCGAAAACACTACTGATGTTATCACTTGTTACCTTAAATTCTGTTTTGATATTTGTTGTCCCACTGAAACCATTTTTGTAAGTTTTGATCGACTTACATCTTCACAACTAAAACGACTACGGAGGTTGAAAGAAAGAATGTACAAGGAGAAGAACTCAAATGAAGTTCGTAAGCTAAATGGTCTGATAAACCTAGAGATTAGACGTCTCAACTGCATGTTTACTCAAAAACTCTTATCTTGCAAAAACTCTACAAGTATGTGGAAATTCTTTAAAGAACTTACAGGTGACAGAAAGTTTAGAAGCGATAACCAGCTGAATGTTTGTGACTTAAATAAGTCTTTTGTACGTCAGTCATCTGATGTGATGCTCCCTCTATCCACGGGTTTAAAAAATAGCTGTGTTCATACTTTCACTGAAACTGATGTACGAGGATGTCTCCAGTCGCTTAATTCATCTCGATGTTTGGGTCCTGATGGTATCCCAAACATCCTTTTTAAAAAATGTGCTGACGTTCTGTGTCATCCGTTCACAACTATATTTAACAGATCTTTCTCATCTAATCTCATACCAAAAATGTGGAGAAAGATGAAGATAATTCCTGTACCCAAGAAAGCATTTGGTGATAAGAATGTAAAATTTAGACCTATTGCAATAACTTCACCTTTCCTCAAAACCATGGAAAAATTATTAATACTTCCACTTCAGCCTGCGATAAAAGGGCACACTGACCCATACCAGTTTGCATACAGGCGCAAAAGAAGCACTTTAGATGCTGTTGCAGTTCTGCATCACAACATAGTGCTCAACTTAGAAAAGGGTAAGAACTATGTTCGATGTGCTTTTCTAGACTACACTTCAGCTTTTGACTCTATACCAAGACAACGTTTACTTAACAAGTTAATCAGCGTCAACACTGACAGCTGGATAACCAACTGGCTGTGTTCCTACCTCTCTGGAAGGGAACAGTACACTGTGTTTGGAGGAAAGAGTTCAGATTCTCTACTGTCTCAGGAAGGTGTACCACAAGGAGCTGTTCTTTCACCTCTTCTATTCTCTTTTTTTCTGCATAACCTGCCATCTTCCACAGAAAACACTTTTGTGAAGTATGCGGATGATCTCACTGTATGTATGCCTATATCTTCCTCTTTACATCCCATAGAAATGAATGAGTTTTTGTCTCGTATTGATTGTTGGTCTGTTGGTAATGGTCTCATACTTAATCCATCTAAATGTCAAGCTGTTAACTTTAGTATGAGACATGAACGGAATATAAACACTATTTTGAGATCCCATAGTGCTTGTACCATCGGAGACTCTTTGATAAACGCGGTGTCGAAGGTCAATTATCTTGGTGTCACCTTTTCCTCTGATCTGTCTTGGTCTTCCCACGTTTTATCGTTATCAAAGAAGGTTTTCCGTCTGACCTACTACATAAAGAGATTGCATGCTCTTGGAATTACTCGTCATTTTCTCTTACAATTTGTCAATTCTTGCATATTACCTATTATTCTTTACTGTTCTCCATTATTCTTTCCCGGGCTTTTGAGAAAAGACTTTGCTGTATTGCGAAGAGTGCTAAAGGCAGTTAGTAAGACGTGTGGTGAATCTTTCGAGGTCATAATTAATATGGTTGAGGATAGACATTTAAAATCATGCAAACTCCTGGCAGGTATTATTTTATCAGATACTAGCCATCCCCTTCACTCTTATCTTTCTCCTCTGAGAAGTTTATTAACATCCTAAAAGCCCTGTATAAAAACACCTCAGGCAGAGTGAGGGCATACAACCACCTCTCTCCATTGTTCCATTCGAGCAGTGGGGTTAGACAGGGTTGCCCAATCTCACCATTCCTCTTCAACTTTGCCATCGATGACATTCTGGAAACAGCTCTGATGAATGTAAGTAATGGTGGTGTGGATCTGTTGCCTGGAGAAAGACTTCTCGACCTTGAGTATGCGGACGATATTGTCTTACTGTGCGATAATGCCCAAGGCATGCAATCCGCACTTAATCAGTTGGCAATCAGTGTCCGTAGGTATGGTATGTGCTTTGCACCTTCGAAGTGCAAAGTACTTCTACAAGACTGGCAGGATTCTAATCCTGTACTCACCCTGGATGGTGAGCAGATAGACGTAGTTGAGAAGTTCGTGTATCTGGGTAGCTGCATAAGTGCTGGTGGGGGTGTGAGTGATGAGATCAATGCACGAATAGTGAAAGCCAGAGCGGCTTATGCCAATCTGGGCCACCTTTGGCGCCTTCGTGATGTCAGTCTGGCTGTAAAAGGCCGGATCTACAACGCGTCGGTGAGAGCAGTTTTGCTCTATGCTTGTGAAACCTGGCCTCTCCGAGTTGAGGACGTTAGACGACTCTCTGTGTTTGATCATCGCTGTCTCCGAAGGATTGCTGACATTCAGTGGCAACACCATGTTAGTAATGCAGAGGTTCGGCATCGTGTGTTCGGGCACAGAGATGATAACTCAATTGGTGTCACCATCTTGAAACACCGACTTCGGTGGCTTGGACATGTTCTCCGAATGTCGTCCCAGAGAATTCCACGTCGTGCATTATTTGCCGACTCTGGGACTGGTTGGAAGAAGCGGAGAGGTGGTCAGTGCATGACATGGTGTCGTGGCATGAAAGAAAGCTGCAAAGGACTGGCTTGTGTTGGTCCTTCACGACTCCCTGGCTGGGGTCCGAGAGATGGTGCAACACAGTGGCTAGAGACGTTATCAGATATGGCTCAGAATAGAAGCCAGTGGCGATCCTGCTGTAACCTTCTTTTACTTTCTTCATAAAAAGTGGTTGTGTCTCCTTTACCTGAAAGATTTCTTCTGATTGTACCTCTTCGTCATTACTCTCTTTTTCTTTTGCGTTCCTTAGTTTTTTTTTCTATCTACTTCTCTTCGAATTCCCATTGTTTTGTGTGGCGCATATATATTGGCGCTCTCTTGTACCAATATTTATGTGTTCAAATAAAATAAAATAAAATAAAAATATCTTTCTCCTTGTATATCTTCTGGTAGAACGAGAAGTAATTACATTAAAATCCTTGCACGCAAGGAAAAGTATAAAAGTTCTATAATACCTTATCTAGCAAATATACTCTGTGACGAACAGGTTGTTAGAATTAACCTAGTCAATAACTTACATTCTTAACATGTCTTTAATTTTAAAAGTTTGTAGTTTCTTTTGGGGTTTTTTTATATTTTATTTTTATTTTATATATTTCTTTATGTATTCGCTACTGCCTATTGTTCGTTGTTCAGTAAGTAACTTGTTGAAATACCCTGTGCTGAGAATTCTATATTGTACCAAAATATAATATTGAATAAAGCCATTAATAATAATAATAATAATAATAATAATAATAATAATAATAATAATAATAATTATTATTATTATTATTATTATTATTATTATTATTATTATTATTATTATTATTATTATTATTATTATTATTAGACGGAAGCGTTATTGAACAATTCGACCTTAATGAACACTATTTTAAAAAAATTTGTATCAGCCAACAGTTTTAAATAATAAAAATAATATTAGCTTGGAGAAAACGATTGTATGATGTAGAGGTAGTGGTAACTGGAAAAACATTCCATCCGTATTATTAGTCGTTCTATATTCAAAACCAGTATTATAAGAACTTTTTTGGGTGCCACATTTAATAATACCTTGTTTTTCTACATAGCAGACATCGATGAGCTTTCCAAGTGAAGATGATTCGGCTCTCTTCAGGGGCCCTTCGACAAGATGATTTATTAGTCTACAGTTTATGTTTTTGTTAAATAAACATAACATCACTGCGGACAAATGTTCTGCGCTTCATGCTAAATTGTTACTTACATAGGTTTTTTACTGAACGAGTCACATCTGTAGTCTGTATAACAGGTTCAGTTGGTTTGGTAAATAGTTTATATGGAATTCAGTTGTCAATAACTATTAAACCTAAGAATAATTTCAAATGAACATATAGTGAAATGCAATAGAACTGATTTGCAACTATATGCGAAAATATTTGACAAAATAAAGATGGTTAAAAGTTATTTAAAGCGTAAGCGACCATAGAACATGAAACATAAACGTCAATCAGAAACTAATACACTTGAAAGCTGACCATCATGTCTAATTTCTGCTCATTATATCACCGCGAAGGATTTTACGGAATAACAACTTTAAATCAGTATTGAAAGATTAATAAAGAAATTGTATGTGATAAACAAGTGGTTAAAAGGAGATAAGATCAAAAGTGAAGAATAATTGATGAGAAAATATCACATAACTTAACACAAACATTATCAGAAGGATAAACATCACTCACTTCGTCATCAGGGAAAGCATCTGGAGTATAGCCAGTTCTAAAATATACAACAGCTACCTCTTGATTGTCTCTAAAAATACAACAGACTTTGTTTAGCGGCAAAAAAATATATTATTGTAATAAGCAGCAGCTTATGAGACCCAATTATTGATATACTGAGATAGGCAACGCCACATTCCGAATTTACATCACGGACTGACCTTAGACAGCCAATGAAAAATAGGAAGCACTAGACAGCTATTTCATCCTAGCATGTGACTCGTCAGCAGTACATACCTACGACCCCACTGGAAATTGAACCCGAGTACTTCAGATCTCGAAGCGAGTGCTTAACCCTTAGACCACTGAGCCGAGACCCAGTAGTATATATTTGACAATATTCATGGGTATAGCTTCCTAACGCAACTATCAAGTAGTCCCTAGTTTTGAATGGTTCACTGACGAAAATCAACCCTTGATGTTATTAACATAATATCGTGATTGTCTACGCATTTACCCCCTCTTAGCAGCATATATAAACAAGAAACACAGTAAGAATTATAAAGAAAAGGTAGCAGGACCGAAGATTATAGGATTTTCCAACTAAATGTCAGACACGATATAATTATGTTCACATGAACCAACCGTATTGGTGAATTTACATAGGGTAGAAAAACGTGCCTTATATTTCTCATGGGCTGCTATGATCAATTAGATGTCTAACATCAGAGATCGTACTACCAGAAAGTACAGTGAAGGAAACTTAGACACCTAAGAACATATATTCAAATGAATACCTTAAATACGCCCTTTAAACATGTTTTACACCAATTATGTTAGAAATTCTTTAAGTTCTCTTAACAGTATGGGGATATGTGCAGAATGAAGTATTTTCACTGTTGAATTCATAAGTCAATCTAAGCTAGACCATCACTGAAAACCTGGAAACACTGGACGACCGTTTCTTCCAGTTATGAGACTCCTCAGCATTGTGAACCTACCATCCCTCAGGAGGGATTCGAAACCACGACCTTCGGTCTCGCGCGCGAATGAAATGGCAGTCCACTGCTCCCAGTTTTTGAATTGAGTAGCGAGAAAACCAAAAGTAGGTCCCACCAACAACTGAGGTCACACTTAGGTAGTTCTAAAAACGAGGCTGACCCAGATGTTGCTTGGAAAGATATACAAGCAGCTGTGGAAACAGCAGTGACATCTATCAGTGATTTAAACCACAGGGTTACAAAGAACCAATGGATTTCCTCAAGGTCTATTGCACTGATGGATTCTCGCAAACTCGTCCCATCACGTTCCGAACATGATGAAGAGCGACAACAAATCAGATCTAGGTTAAGCAAAAGTCTAAGAAACGACCGTGAGCAGTGGTGGGCAATGAAAGCAAAAGAGATGGAAAAGGCGGCGGCTGTAGGGAACACAAGACAGCTCTACCGACTAATAAAAGAAACTGGAATTAATAAGTGTAACTCAGACTATTTCGGAAAAAGACGACACTCTCATCTGCTCCCAGTCCACACGTTTAGAACGATGGGCGGAACATTTTAGGGAACAGTTCAGCTGGCCTTCAGTTACTCTACAACTACCCTCCATTCCCAGACAGTGTGAATGGGACATTGATATAGGTCCCCCAACTCTAGCTGAAGTCTAAAAGGCTATAGTTAACCTGAAACGAGGGAGGGCAGCTGGTCCAGATAGATTGGCTCCAGAAGTCTTTAAGGATGGTGGTTCAATTTTAGCGATTAGGTTGACTAATATTTTAGCTAAAATCTGGGAGTTGGACGTTATTCCATCTGACTGGTCACAATCACTCATCGTCCCAATATATAAGTGAGGGTCGAAATCATCCTGTAACAACCATAGAGGGATTAGTTTAACTAATATAGCATCTAAAATATTATCTTCGATGATTATCCGACGCCTAACTAAGACTTGTGAACTGCAAACACGAGAGCATCAAGCTGGCTTTTGACCATGTCGTGGCTGTATCGACCACATATTCACCATTCGTCAGGTTCTAGGACACAAGCATACTTATCGGCGTCCGACAATGGTGGTCTTTCTTGACTTAAAAGCAGCATTTGACTCTGTAGACCGAGAGGTTCTGTGGCAGTGTGTCATTGAAAGGCGTACCTCAGAAGTACATAAACCTTGTAAAGGCTCTCTACTCGAACACTACTAGTCGCGTCAGAGCTTATGGCGAACTGTCATCTGGTTTTGCAACCTCAAGTGGTGTCCGTCAAGGCTGTCCACTTTCTTCATTTTTGTTTAACTTCATCATAGACCTACTGATGGAAATAACATTTCATACACATAGTTCCCTTTACCATTTTGAAAAGAGCAAGAACAAATACTCTAGCAGAATAGAATGAATTCATTTTATTTCGTAGGTTCTCGTCAGCTGCTTACAACTTGTGATATTTAAAAAATCATAATTACTTAATAGGTTTAAATTGCTTGCATTGCTTACATTCTCGTCGACTAAATTATCGGGTATTGATCTCCTACCAGGAGGTCCACTTATCGACTTAGAGTACGCAGATGACATAGTTTTGTTTGGTGAAGACGCTGATAAAATGCAGTCTTCTGGTAGCACTAAGCAACAATGCCAGAATGTTTGGAATGCGCTTCTCTCCCTCTAAATGCAAGTTGTTGCTTCAGGACTGACCTGCGTCAACACTTGAACTAAGGATAGGGAGTGAAGTAGTCGAACGCGTGGACAACTTCACTTATCTTGGAAGTCTGATCAGCCCTAATGGGTTGGTGTCTGACGAAATTTCAGCACGGATTCGAAAAGCTGATTTGGCTTTTTCCAACTTATGTCACCTATGGCGAAGGCGAGATATCCGTCTATCAATAAAAGGACGAGTATACTAAGCGGCAGTTCGTTCTGTTTTAATTTACGGCAGCGAAACATGGCCATTAAGAGCAGAAGATACTCGACCAATATTCGACCACACATGCCTTAGAAATATTGCTCACATCTGCTGGGATCACCGAGTAAGTAATAGTGAGGTTAGACGCAGGGTATTAGGGAATGATGGTAAATCAGTTGATGAGGTTATGAATCTTCATCGACTGAGATGGTTGGGCCACGTGTTAAGTATGCCTGAACACCGATTACCACGAAGTGCAATGCTAACCGGTGTGGGGGGTGGCTGGAAGAAAATTAGAGGCAGCCAAAACAAAATGTGGCATCAACGCTTGAAGACACTAACTTCGAGTCTGAGCCATGTTGGTAGATGCAAACTACTTGGTTGGGGTCCGCGTGACTGTCGTAATCAATGGTTGGAGACTCTTGGTGACATGGCTCAGAATCGATCAAAATGGCGTACGTGTATACACTCTGTCTTCCCTTAAACTATGAGATAACAATTATTTCATATTTTTCTTTCTACTAACTAATTCTTTCTTCCTGGACTATATCCTTATATGCAATCTTTTTTTATATATTACCACCACTGACTTAACAACTCCTATAAATCCGGTGTTCATCTTGCTGTGCTAATGCGGTATGGCAACTTGGACTGATGCATATATATGCCTGGTCCTACGTTGTAACTGACTGACTGGCTATAAGCGAGACGTTTCGCGAATCCGCAAGCGGCTTTACTCGCCATTTTTGTGGCGTCATGAAGCTGCAACCAATGCTCATCTATACTTTTCGGTGGAATGGTAGCTAGCCTAGAAACTAGCTCTGTTCGATACTTACTAGCAACAGAAGTTGCAACCAACTTGCTGACATCAATCCTTTGGTAACGGTCACTTCGTTGTCCACTGAAAAGTAAGGCAAGATTGGCGCAGACCAAGGCATGATCAGAGTCCAGATAGGTACTCCAAAAGGAGCGGCAGTCTTGTACACAACCATGTCAGCGGTAGCTGATCGCGATGTAATCAATCTGAGTCCAGGCTTCAGATGCAGAGGGAGGACGCCAGATGGCACATCGGCGATGACTGTGCCGAAAGTTAGTGCCAGCCAGAAACAGGTTGTGGTCTGTGCACAGTTGCAATAGACGGTCCCCGTTATCTGTCTTGCGACCAACACGTCCCCATCGGCCACCTAAACGACTCTCTTCTGTGCCTAGACGCCCGACCTGAGCATTCAAGTCTCTGGCTAGTACTACAATATCTGTCGAACGCACTTTCTGGAGAAGAACAGTTAACTGGTGGTAAAATGTATCCTTGATTGCATCCGGGCTGCAATCTGTCGTGGCATAGGCAAAGATGACGAAAAACATCGTTTCTCACACCGATTTCTCCTCAATTTGATGAAACTTTCTAATCTAACAGCACATAACCGACTGTTAATAGAATCCAGTCGATTAGTGCTGCCTTAGCTCTAGCGCTTAGTGCGACACCAACGCCAGCAAGACCAGAAGATGCCTCACGGTCCCCGGATAAACGCACGTAAAACAAGCTTTTTGAAGCGACAGCGAATTTGTAGTACTTCACCAGTCTTTAATACGGGTCTCGGATAGACAACAAACGTCAATGTTAAGACTTTCCAAAGACATAGCAAGCCCTATCTGTTGTTCGACCTGCATAAGTGTGCGGAAGTTGAAGGCAGCCAGTTTGAATGGTGCACGCGGTTTCAGAAAAACTGTTTCAGTATTCGTATTTGGTGGTGCATTCAATTTTCAACCAGTCAGTGACTCGAGAACGTTTAGATAGAAGTGAGACTCCACCATAGGCGAGCTCCTGTATAAGTCGAAAAATGAGGATGCATAAAGTGAGAATAAATAGAGTGAATAAATGACGTAGTGAATAATAATAATAATAATAATAATAATAATAATAATAATAATAATAATAATAATAATAATAATAATAATAATAATAATAATAATAATAATAATAATAATAATGTGAATCGTTTGACTGTTAATCGAAGCAAGTATAGTATTTTCCTTAAGTATCGTCACTTCATTCTGTTTGTGTGTGGGCTGTGATACTGCCCGGATGCCCAGACCGAAGCAGGTGGTTTTCTTAGGGAGCCACACCCCGAGCCTTTGACCTAAAGGTCTGACCCATAAGGCAGTGGAGCATCGTGAGGAGATGCAGTTCCATGGTAGCCGGTGACCAACGATTGGTTCATACGCCATTTGTTCCCTCAGGATGCTAGAGCCTATATGCGCCATTGGTTTGAAATCCGGTTAAAGCGGCGGGCATTCGCTTTTTGTCCTCTCATTTTCGTAAACAACACCCCTGGTGAGAGAAGGCAGTGAGTAGGACTTCCTTGGCAGAGGCTGTATACGCGTGGCCATGTGAGAGCATTTCGAGAGGGAGGGAGGGTCCACCCCATCCTCGGCCATACCAGGGCATTTGGGAGCCCTAGATTTTACTGTTACCCACCATCTACCTCTGCTTATAATACTCGTGACTTAAAGCGATATCGATGAAAACTGATCAGGATGCAAATATGACAATTAGAGACTGATCAGTTGCAGTCCTAAACATCAGCAAATTCAAACAACCAACACCCAAGTGAACTAAAACATACGTTGTTTATAGTAAGTGATAGGAAAATTTAATGTATCAAAGCATCGAAATGCTAATCGCTTAGTCATTTAACTCTTTAATTTTAGCGATTTAAAATAATATACTTACTACAGTGTTGTTAGATCTTATTTAACCTCAATAATTACTGAAACTGTACACTCGTTATTGATAACTAATTGACTTAATAAAAAAAGATAGCCCAAAAGATTAAATGAGTTAGGCAGGTAGGTAATAATTTTACAACAACTTACACAAATAAACGGGAATTCACATCCAATTTTAGACCAGTTTTTAGATAATCAAATGAATGATATAACACATTCACTTTAGGATTTTTCAGTAGAAGACAACCAATCAATGCTCGTTGATCATAAATATTTTTTTCATTCTTACCAACAACTACAAGAATAGATATGTTTGACGTGATTAAATTTCTTCTAGAGCAATCTTCGACATACATACGACAAGCAGATAATAAAGCTTCGCTAAATCTATCAGCAGAAAAGCAATCCGGTACCTAAATGTAAGAATGATGACATGAATGAAATTTTCAATACATTAAATTCATATCATTTGTATGATAGCGCCATAGTCCGAAACCATATAAATACAGTCTAAGTCCTAAGGCGCTTAAATATATACAAAAAGAAATGACCATTTGATAAAGTGTATATTCCGGATTGTTTAAGTCAATGTATAGATCAGTTCAATAAAATTATTGTTCAGTATTATAAGCCATTAAAAAACTATAATCTCAGGTAAATGATATCCGTCAGATAATATACATGTAAACAATGATTTCGGGTTTCATATAATTTTAACTTTGGATACCACTTGTTGCTACTACGTAATGTAGTCTTCTGGAAATAAACTACAATCCTAATTTTTAAATTGCCCAAATAAGTCAATAAGATCAATCATTACATAGAATGATTTTTTTGCATATGAAACAAATATTAGGATTTGCTGAACTAGACTAAAATCTAACCGTAAAAAATAAAGTGATACCGGATGAACTCAAGAGATTATTGAACAAGTCTGACTTTTGAAAGCACCCCCAACATAAAGACACAGACCAGTCCGTCAAAAGGCAGTAGAATTGCAAAAACATGAACAGCTTTTGGAAAAAGTATATGATTCACGAAAAAATCTAAAATAAACATCCATTTTATTATGCAAGTAATTATACTCTCAAAAATGACTGAGATCATATATAATAACAATGAGGTGAATAAAATTATTCTCAACTTACACGATTATTTAAATCGCTTGAAATTCCATGCAAAGATAAGGAAATACGATGTTGTGGAACAATACGCTGAGCAAGACCACAAAAGCTACATGCAATCATATTGAATTCAACTTGTCGAATCAACAAACCATCCCAAGCTTCATCTTGAGTCTCAATATCAGATTGAGCGGCTACTACTGTACTTTGTAACCGGTTCGCAAGAGAAGTCCGTTTAGTATCGCATAAATCTCCTTGTACATGAAGCATATAATCGGATCGGTTCAATCCTAACACTATATCCTGAGAAAAGGGATAAAAAACAAAGTTCGAGGGTAACTTCTTTGGGTTTACAAACGAGGTAAAGACTAGGTACAAACGTCTCTGTTGACAAAATTTGGAATGTAATTTTCAGACCTAGTAAGTCATGTTTAAATCGAAGTTTTACTGCCATAAAACACACATTTGGCAGTAATAATAAAGCTAATGAATAGATATAGAGAAAAGTCAGCTTTCAACTCATGTGAGTCTTTTTGCCCCATAATGTCGATTGTTCACTATGTGTCAAAAAGTACTGGCTATGAACATCCTACAGGGATAGTCGGTCGAATCATGCAAAGGAAAGGAAATCTCATTAATGAGGCAGTCGTCGGCTCAGAAGTTTGGTTACACCATGATGACCACCTGAAAGCAACTTCGACAACCGATGTGAAATACCTCATAATATTCTATTAGACACTTTTGAAATCAAGCCCCCGGAAACGGCCAACCCAGTCTCTGCGCGAACGAAGAGTGATACTATTTTTTTACTGCCTAGAAGGTAGACAGCTCAAAAGCAAGGAACGCGGATGCGAGCGGACCACAACGCTATGTCCCACTAATCTGCTCAAAAGAGAGGTTTCAACAGGACACATATTGTATTAATATATGTTCCATGCGGGATAATGTTGAAGCATACTGATTTATTCATTTTTAGCCGATTGGGGCTAAAAGATGAATAAAAACTCAAGAATATTCTTGTGTATAAATTATAAATTTACTAAGTTCTCACGCTGTGATCGCAACTTCCATTCAACTTTAAACCCGGAATCCGCTCTTTGAAATATCACAATAAGTCTTACCTTATTCTATAACGAATTTGTAATGAGCATTTTACAAAACCACATCCGAACTGTCTACAGCTGTGACACTTCAGAATCGAAGTGACGAAAACGCTGCTTACCACTGACAGCGCTATTATTTCGTCCATTTTCTACAATGCTATCCTTTTTTGACAAAATAATCATTTTTAAGAAATCATTAACATTCTCACGTGCATCGAATGAGTTGGAACGAACAAGATGTAGCAGGTAAACGTTGGTATGCATTTTTATTTCGTCTAAACTAAAAAGCTTTCTGAATAAACATGCGTAAACTATGCATTAACTGCTTTTTTTTAGATCATGGAATGGAGATAACTTTTTTCTCCAAGTTAAAGTGTTGACGTTTAACCGTCACCCCCATGTAAACATTGACAACTTTATGTAAAACATGTTTAGAAATTGTTTTCACATAAACCACTGTTTGAGTGAGAAGATAACTTGATTGTTTTAAGATATTAAAGACGAACTTTATAAGTGCACAAGTGGTAGTAAACTAGTCCGTTAGGTTTTGCAAAAAGTTGACTATTTGACATGTTAATATTGGAGGAAAGTAGACAATTCGCTGTTAATTTTAGGGAAAAGCAAACAATTTGTAAAAGGTAAGGGTGTTTTATGTTGTGGAGTTGCAACTTGGAAAATGTATACAACTATCATCAAAAAGGTAAAGGTATTTATAAAGATATCTAACCAAGATTTACTGGCCAGAAACAGAGATAGTCGAATATAATAGATCAAACCAACTTTCAGCTTAAGAGGAAATTGTTGCACTGATGCCTTGTCAATTACATAAAGCCTTAATCAATAAATAAATGATTATTTTGATTAGTAGAAAACAGAATTTGAGTAAACTCAATTTAGACAATATTTTTATCAGACATGCAAATGAAAGTTGAAAACCATTTAAATCTGACTAATTATTACATATTTACCGAGATAGTGCTTTATAAGTTAACCAATAATCATTCTGCAAACAAAAAAACGCTTTTTAGATTCGGGGCTAATGCTACTAAAGTATGCTGAATAAGGTAGAAACGATAGACATTTAATTCAATTTGTACTAATTGATGACTCCTTTATAGTTTATTCCGCTGCCAATTCGAAGTCCAAACAGAATGCGTTCATTTATACTCATCGAGTTCCATCTGTCTTAAATGGCACTATTCTGACAGTTCCTGCTTAGCAAATCATTTTGACTACTTATAATTATCAGTGTATTTATCTCAGGATAGTACGGATTATGGATACCAGGACTATTCACATTAACATACAGGATGCTCGTTGGTTGCAATGTGAAAAATAAGTGATAATTCGGATACTCAGTCAGTCAGTAACAACGTAGAACTTCGTACGTATGTACATCAGTTCGAGATGCTATACCACATTAGCACAGAGATCTAGTTGTCGATTCAAATCCCGTAGTGGTAGATGTAGTAAGAGTATATGCAGTAATCAGAAACATTAGGGTCAGAAGAAAAATTGATTGGCAGTGCACATACTATGAGAATACAGAAGTGTAGGAATAATAGAGGAAGTGGAGATGATAATAAGCGAAATAGAAACAAGTTAATGATGAGATAATGACAACAGTATGCAAGTTACGAGACATGCATCCGACACAAATGTTTCAAGAGGGGATGGTAATCCATGGATGAGTACGTGTTTGCCAAGTCTTCTCTTGAAGCCATTCACTGAGGGGGCTGTGGTCACTTCGGTTGGGAGAACACTACCAATAGGGGCAACTCTTAATGAAAAAAGAAAGAGCGTACATGGGTTTTCGTTCTTTGATCTGCAATCTTTCGATGGTTGCCTCGAGGAACGTGGTGTTGTTTATGTAGGATGTACGTGATGGGGTAAATTCCAAGGATATTGTCGGTATCAAGCACGGATCACTGTCGAGTAATCGACTGAATGGGACTCATCGATACACGTTAACTTCCTCAACTATGAGAAAGCATTTGACAGTATGGACAGGAGGACCTTGTGGAATCTTCAACGACACTATAAAGTACCTGAGATTGTCACCGTCATACGGAATTCTTACGACGGACTACACTGAAAAGTGGTGTATAGAAGACAGCTCGCAGGTGCATTCCAAGTGAAGACCGGTGTCAGACAAGGCTGCTTACACTCCCCTTTCCTCTTCTTTCTGAAGCTTGGCTGGCTTATGAAGACCTCCACATCTTACAGGAAGCATGATATACAGTAAACACCTTTGATGCAACTGGACGATTCAGAATTCGTACATATCTTGACTCTTCTTTCTCATACACAGCAACAAGTTTAGATGAAAATATACAGTACAACAGCAGCCTCTGCAGCAGAATACCTCAACATACATGAAGCCAAGTCCAGTATCCTAAAATTAAACACAACGTACATCAACAAATCACACTTGTTAGCGCAACTCTGGAAGAAATGGTAGCTTTTACGTACCTAGACAGTGCGACTGATAGACAAGAGAGATCTGATGTGGATGTAAAGACAAAGATTGACAAAGTAAAAAGATTGCCTATATAATTGAAGAAAATCTGGAATTCAAAACAAATGTCATCCAACATCAAAATCAGAATTCTCAGTACGAATATCAAAACAGTTCTACTGTATGGTGCTGAAAATTGGAGAACAGTCACGACCAACATCAGAAAAGCACATGTATTTATAAAAACTTGTCTACTCAAGATACTTCAGATCTTTTGTCCGGACACCATCAGAAATGAACTACTGTGGTGGGGAACAAAACAGCTTCCAGTTGCAGAACAAGTCAGGAAAAAATGCTGTATGTGGATAGAGCACACATAGCGGAAACTATCAAGCTGCATTACAAGGTAAGCCCTTACTTGGAAACCTCAAAGCAAATGGACAAAACTTACTTACACCTGTTACCCCCATGGAAGAGCGTAGGAAACCCACAAGCACTCTATATTCAGTTCTATCCTGTGCAATCCTTTCCAGTTGCTATTCATCCTATTTATGTCTGTTTCAAACTACTGACGGTGTGTTCTTAGGTCTTCCTCTTATCCCTTTCCCTACAGGATTCCAAGTTAGCGTTTGCCTCATGTTGCAGTTTGATGATTTCTTCAATGTGTCCCATCAACTTCCAGTGTCTTTTTCTAATTTACTCCTCAGATGGAAGCTGGTTTGTCCTCTCTCTCATGGTAGGATGTTGCTGATGGTATCGGACCAACGGACATTCAGTATATTATGTAGTCAACTGTACATAAATATTTGTACCTTTTCGATGATTTTTGTAGTTCTCCAAGCTTCAGTTCCGTGCAGTAGAACTGTCGTGCCGTTTGTGCCGAAGATTCTCACTTTGATATTGGTTGACAGTTGTTCTGAATTCCATGTGTTATTCAATTGTAGGGTTGCGGCCCTTGATTTGCCAATCCTCGGCTTTACGTGTTCATTCGATCCTCCTTGTTCATCGGACAAGAGATGGACCAAAAAATGAGTTGAAAATAGAAGGAATAAGTCAAAAGAAATAATAGCAGTTCGTGACCGAAAAGGAAAAGAAAGGACAAGGTTGGTTGGAGAATAATGGTAGGTAGCCTATGTTCCATGAGGTCCAACAGGCACAAGTTACAAATCAAATCAAGCAATTAGAAAGGTCTTGTTCCAAGACACTTCACTTAAATGAAGAACAGCAGCAATTTTACCTTGGGCTAAGGAAGAGGCGAAGATTTGATGGATTGTCGGCTACATTCATACCGATTTGAGCATTTTCCACAGAATTTCTCTAAGGTTCCTCTTTATTCCCCCATATTTGGTGTTCGGAGTGTGGAACGTCTTGAGTAAATGTTAAAGCGAAAATGAGCAAATAATACTAAGATTTTTTATCGTTTAAGCATGTATCGTGCAGTGCACGCTACCTGAGAAGTCTACCGAGTAATATTTCAGAAAAAGTCTAAACAGTTATAAAACTCTAAGTAGGGATCAGCAGACTTTCGGGATACATGAAATCTGTGTAATCGGTTTCAAACAAATTTCTTTACCTGAGTAATTTCGTTAGTTCGAATTCGTGAATATATACCCCATAATGAGCGAAGATAAGGGTCAACAGCAAGAACGCTGAAAATTCGAAAATTTGATAAAAGAGACTCACGGCTTCAACACATCATACAGAAATTCGTGATTTATTGCAACCCTGTGATATAACAAGTTAAAATCACATTGGATTGATTGAGCACGACATAGTAATACTTTTGGTACGGGAGATGGTAAAAGTGTACATGATAAAAGAGATGGGTTTCCGTCGACCACCTTAAGAATTCCTATAGACCGTCAAGCTATTTACGTAAGTATACCATTTGAGACTGCAAATTCAGATGCCACCTTGTGCATGTCTAACGACCTTAAGAATGAAATTCGCCGTCTAGGTCAAGTCACAGCTCAAATGGTTCAAATGGTTGTGAACGGAATAGAAGAAGCTTTCGCTTAACGGGCTTCCGTGTCTAGTAGCAGTGGATCATCAATTCCTCTAGGCTGGAACCTAGGCATATTGACGATAATAGAGAAAAAATAAATTGGTAAATCATAGTAAGATACCACCATTAATCCTTAAGAATATGTCAAGTTTCCTCTTGAAGCACTCCTGGGAAGTCGCTTGGACTAACTCAGCCGGCAGTGAATTTCAGCATTTGACCTCTCTTAAGTAGTGCAAGTTGTGTCTACAGTTCGTTCGGTTGTGCTGTGTCTCCAGTTTCTGAGTGTTACCCCTTAGGTTTGTGTTGAGGCTAAATTTAAGTAAGTGTTTGAGGGGATGTCCGGAAGTGTTAAGGATGCTACGAGCCATTAGAATATCACCTCTAAGATGCCTGTACTCTAATGAATAAAGGTTTAGTGGGTGAAGACGCTCTTCATAAGGCTTGAAGTCGCTCTTCATAGGGCTGTGAGTCATATGTAGGTAAATTCGAACACTTCACTTCTATTTAAAGTTTGAGCTGATGGTGTTGTTAAAAAAACAGTGAAAACTCTAAGACCAGATAACTTATCTCAGAGAACAAAACTCTGACGAATTTCAGTTTCAATTCTCAATGCCATTTTGTAGTCGTATAGAAAGTTGGTAGGTCTATATAGTATGAAGTTGTACCTTTTTGTAATGATACATTTCCCCCACGAGTGCTTTCACTGACCAAGATGATGCCGGGTGTTCTGGTTTGGTGTTCCACCTGGAAATATACTCCCTATCAATCTAGGTCTCGAACTGATGGCGTGATCTGTGTCCATTTCATTTATCTGATGAGTTATGAGTGAGATGATGATGTATTCGAATTGGGATTACCAATTGTAGCGTGGCGTCGAGTTGAGATTAACTGTGAACACCGCTACCAATAAACACGTGCCAATTAGATCAGAAGGCGTAAGAAGCTCGTTCCAAATGACTCCATAAAATCCCCGAGAAGCCGAATACCAGAAGGCAATTAATGGACCAAGTCGATGTTTATTTGCTGGCGATCTCGTGGCATCGAAAGGATACCGAGATCGTGCCAGGATACAAGCTTGGTTACAGAATTCGCGCGAAGTTACAATCAAAGTGTAAGTAAAAGAATGGGAGCACAAAATAGCTGTCATTAGCACAGTCAAACAAAAGCACGTTAAAACAAACACTGGTAAAGTTGGTTATAATAATAATTGTTTTTATTAAACCAGTCGTATTCTCGTGATAAATGTGAGTCACTACAATGAATTTGATGTTCCCGGTCATTTTTGCCGATTTATTGTTTGAATGAAACTTCTGCTCACTAGTGTAAAATTCGATCATTTACCATGAATTTTTATAATTTGTATGCTTCTTACTCACATTTTATCGCGATTACTCAGATTTTATCTTTTTGTAATTCTAAATCTACTTTAACTGCGTTATTCAATCAATGAAACAATAAGATACATTCGTCTTTGAATCTGACACGATCCTCAAAGAAACTATAATATCTAATACTGCTGTGGCTTTATATGTATCACCTTATCTTTTGAACTAAAGTTGATAATACAGACAACGCTGAACTACTAGGACCTTCAACACACGTCTTATATTCATATCCTCGTATTTTCACACATATACGACCTTTTTGTGTTAATCTGTCACTCACTGTTTTATCTGACCCCCGTAATTTTTTCATACTGCGTATTATCTGTTTTTGAACTATCTTAACTCCTGCGTTGAGTATCGTAGGCGGATCAGCACGTTCACTTTCTTCACTTCGCTTTCCTGTTTGTAATTTTGGCGTCCATCTGAGATAAATTCCGTCTGTCCAATACAAGTTCACGGTTGTATTACCACTATCACCCAAACAGAGTTAACCTAGATTTAGTGTGGGAAATTAAGTGAAAGATTTATGTTTGTGACATATTCATTGATTCTTCCAAAGTGGAGTCAGATCGTGGGTTAATAATAAACTTGTAAAGTAGTAACTTTGAACTAGGTTGTTATAAAACTACGAGGTTAATATTCCGACTACGAAAATAAAACGAAATACCTAATCATCTCTTGAAGTAACTTTAAGGACATCACCAAAACCTGGGAATGAGTATATCAGAAATTCATCACATCTTATTTTCTGACCTCAAATACTTCGGGTACAAAACTCTAGTCATAAGCCCAGCTTAAACTTGCTTAAACGAAAAAGAGGTATATTGAACTCGAATTTTCTGTTTACTACTCATTTTCTCATAAAGGATGTCATTTTGTCCAGCGTTCAGTCTGGCTTGTTTTCTTCATTGTTGCAAGTGTTAGTGTATCAGTTGACCCAAATGTGCTTATTATGCTAAGTTTATTGAACGAAAACTAAATAACAACTGGTATGTAATAAATGTTACGCAGAAGCTCCTTTCTTGAGTAGCCACCATGGATCGAGTCCACTCAGTTTGTCAAGCATTTGCCCAAAATTCCTGGGCTGAGGATGTGAATTGAAACACAAGCTTAGAAGATGTTTGTTCTGTGATAAATTTCACCAATAAAGTTCAAGTGTATTTCATACTATTAAATGCTTTAAATGTGATAACATTTGATACATTGAGTCAGTCTGTAATACTACTGTTTATTTTACTGCAACTTACCTTAAACTTTGTAATCCCAACCCTATTAAGTTCGAATGTTTCAAGTGAATCATACTCTGGTCTGATTCATGATACCGTTTTACCAGATTACATTGTCCTCATAATTTATGTATTTCTAATGAAATTATTTGCAAATGTGTGGAAGATGAACCGAGTGCATCAAATCCAGACCAAAATTATTATGTTATTTTATCAGATGTGGTTTGCCATAATTATTCATTTTTCTCTAGTGAAATCTCAGTTAACTGTGAGAATCATGTTCGAAATGAGTTAAATTCTGATTACGATCCTTATGGAGTCGCATAAGATGTTGCTTGTCCTCATAATGGGTTTATCTATAGTGATATCACTAATGAGTGGGACAAATATGTTCCGAATGAGTCGAATTCTAGTCACATTTAGGATGTTATTGTATCAGATGCTGGATATTCTCACGACCAGTGTATGTCTATTAGAGTCCCTATACAGTGGTATGATGAATGCAGAGTAAATAGTAGGTTTTCCCGGAGCAGTTAGAGAACCAATTTATCCAGATATGAAGTTTACATAGGCAGAAAACTCAAACCGACTCCAAGATTATCTTAATGAGTATGAAGGAGGTGCAAATTTTCCATTAGAATGTTTTGCAGGTAAATGAAGCCTAGATGAATCATATGTGTTAACTACACATGTCAATACATTTTTATCTGGTATCTGAAACAATGACTTTGTGCATTCCAGCTTGAAATGCAAATGAATATGTATCACATTTTATGCAGGTCAAAGTCACATGATGAAATGCCTCAAATTATAAGTCAGTATGTATCCCTAAATACTCACATGTAATATTTGAAGTGTGAGATATGAGAAGATAATACAAGTCTGGAACGTCAAATTGGTCATGATATTGCGACATACGGACCCTACACTATTTTGTGGGGTAGGATAATCTTAGAAAGTCTATGGTTCAAAACCTAGTTACCAGTGATTTCAGCACACAAGCGACGTGTTGAATATATATAATTCCCGGACCCAGGTGAGCTCATTTCAATTTCAGTTTTTAATTCTAATACTAATTAGTATACTCTGGATCATACAGAATCTACATCCAATACACAGTCGGAGATACACAGGATGAACATAAGGAGAAGTAGAATTGATTGCAGAAATTCGGGTTCTCATTTAAGTCGTGGCCGACATGGTGTTTGTATGAATTAGTGATTCATTATTACTTGATGAATGACTGATTTCAAACTTCAAATATGACACGTTCGTTTGTGCTCACCTAATTCTCTTGGGTCAAATTCGCGTAATTTCTGAGATTCCGAGTTTGTATAATAATTTAATTACTTCTCATCATCACAGTACTACTAAAATGTTACTGTAGAAAAAGAATAACGAACAGAAAATCAATTTACATAGAAATCCAAATGAACAAACAACTTATGCTGGGAAGAGATGGATGTTGACTAGCAGTTGTATCCACAACACGCTTTCCGTCCTATGGGAGTAATCAGCTGGATGTGACTGTTTTCGAAAGTTGATGTTCTGTCTGCGACTAGAGTCTAGTACTATATGCTTCAAATGTTATCACATTGTCCACCTAGCTACTGAATCCAGATAGACACTGGTTTGAGCAACTGCATAAACTTAAATCCATCAGAAAAGTAGACGAGATGAAATCCATCATTTCTCGCACATATGGTGAGCTTGGAACGTGTATCAATTCTTGCACATTGCCTTAACTGGCTGGTTTTATATCTTTAGCCCTGATTTGCTATCTTACATCTACTACCATCGTGGAATTGCCGTATAGGTTGTTGACAAGTCGACAGAATGTAAGAAAACTCGCTTAGTTTATTAGGTCGTGTCTTCGTAAACCTTGATAATCCCCGTTTCAACTATTTAGTCGTTTGGAAAGACTTTTGACGATTTCAAAAACGCAGAACTCTTGAAAAACATCCCATTCTTTACCCTCACATTGGTGTGTGAGATACTGTGTTCGTTTTTTACCAAGTGACATTCTCAAGGGTATATTGTGAGGAAGGCCCACTAGTCAACTCGAGAAAGCTCAAAAAAAGCTGAAGACATTCCACCCAATCGTCTTTTGGAGGAATATTTCAGAATACTTACGTGTAGTTTCCCTGTTGGACAAATGCTAATAGTCCCCTGTATGCGAATTGAAGGACCATAATGATGATTTCGTCTTTACTAGACTATAAATACCTGAAGATGGCACAGCTATCCAGTGTTTGACAACGCTTTAACCAGTAACACCTAATATGAAGCGCACACACCAAGAGAAATCAAAAGACAGAATCGAGGAGATCGGAAGATATATTTGATG